TGTGCACATATGGGTGCACAGCACCACAGGACATGGATGCAGCCTGTTCCACAAGGGTGCTTGCCTCATTTCCCCGAGCTGCCTCACTGTAAAAAGGGAAGGGGAGTGTCCCCAGCAAAACTCAGACACTACNTTCTGAGTATAAACACGGATAGTGTAGACACCCAACATTGATGTAACCAAAGCCATGAAAGGAAAAGCAGTGTCCAGGGAGGGTGGGGACAGGAAGAGTGCAGGGATGTGGTCGACGTGAGGGAGAGAACAAATGCAAAGATCAAGAAGCAGCATTCGCATGTGTTATTTAGAAATAGAAATACAAACCGCAGAATCAGCCAAGGAGTTTAACGTGGTCTTTAGGCCGGGTGGAGGAGGAGAAGGTTGGGGCCGCGGGTCCACTCTGAGCTGGCTCTGCCGCCTCCTGGAAGCCGTAGCAGTCCTCCACCCCAGGCCCTCCCGTCTGCTCTTTCCCTAACCTTGCCCTCTCCTGCTTTCAGTCCTTTCCCACCACCTCTTCCTTTCCCTGGATGCTGTGCCCAGGGATCAGGCCCCCATCCTTCTGGCTTCCTTATCAATCTTTATTTATTTATATTTATATTTTTATTTTTATTTTAAAAGATGACTGGTAAGGGGATCTTAACCCTTGACTTGGTGTTNTCAATAATATTTACAAAATTAAAAGTTGACCAGACGCCCCTCCCACAACCAGGCTCACTGCTCCAGCAACTCGGGGCCTGCCCAGGGACCCAGGGTATGGAGCTGGGGACCTAACCCACCACACACAACCAGGCACACCTCGCCAGTGCCTTGGGGCCCACCCGGGGACCTGGGGCATGGAGAAGGGGACTGGATCCCCCTCCCACAGCCAGGCACACCATGCCAGTGCCTCAGGACCCACTCAGGGACCTGGGGTATGGAGCTGGGGATCAGACATTCTCTACAACCAGGGACATCACCAGCACCAAAACATCTCCATGTGGGTGGCCCACCACAGCCACCACGATAACCATGGCTTCCATGAAGGCAGCTAGATGCCACAACCGCCACGCAGATCATCTGCCAGCCACTGGAGTGAGTTGACACAAGGAGAGTCACCAGCAGAGATAAAGGAGGAGGATGTCTGTCTCCACAGAGCCCATTTCATAGTGACACATCTGCTTTATGATAGTATTGAGGGACCTGATCACACCTCTCAGCATTGGACAGATCATTTGGGCAGCCAGAGTAACCATTATTCTTTCAGAGGAGAGAAGAAATCTAGGGTGACTAGAGAGGGATGGGGGGAGGGAAAGGGGGAAGGTGAGAGATTGGGCAAGGAGCATAAATAATAATTACGATTTGTAACAACACATATGCTAGTAATATTGATTTGATCAACATATCTCGGGCCGGCCCGGTGGCGCACTGGAGAGTGCGCTGCTTGGGAGTGCGGCAGCGCTCCCGTTGAGGGTTCGGATCCCATGTAGAAACCGGTTCCCGCTCACTGGCTGAGCACGGTGCGGGCGCAACACCAAGGGTTGCGATCCCGTTACCGGTCAGTAAAAAAGACAAAAAGGAAAAAAATAAAAATAAAATAATAATAATAATTTAAAAAAAGACAAAAAGGAAAAAAATAATAATAATAAAAAAACATATCTCAACATTGAACCCTCAAAATTTGTATAATCAATTTTGATTCAATAAAAAATTTTTAAAAACAAAAAACAAAATTAAAAGTTTGATAAAAATAAAAGCCTAAGAATGCCTGGAAGGAGGTCATTTCTTCATTTGTAAATCGGGATAATGAAACTTGCCCCAGAGTTGTCGATGTGAAAGCATAGCAACGTGTGCACATATGGGTGCACAGCACCACAGGACATGGACGCAGCCTGTTCCACAAGGGTGCTTGCCTCATTTCCCCGAGCTGCCTCACTGTAAAAAGGGAAGGGGAGTGTCCCCAGCAAAACTCAGACACTACAAGGAGGTGACGGCGCAGCAAGCCGGGCTAGGATGGGGAGACACTGCCTCCCCAGGAACCGGGCTGGGACACTGGGCGGTGGGTGCCTGTGAGCCCCTCACATGTGCCCCCTCCAGCCTGAGTGCAAAGACGACTTTGTGCCTACAGAGTTCTTGCTCCAGTAGGCAAACTCCTGCAGTCACAAATGGCAATCCATGCAAGGGAAGGTGGGTTGGGTCCCATCTCCCCACCCCTGTCCCTCCTGCCCCTTACCCCCACTTCCGCCTGTTCACCCATCCCATCCTGTCCCGTCTTGCCCTGTCCCATCTCCCCTACCCCCATGGGCCAAGACCGCCCTGTCCCAAAGCCTCCACCTCCAGTGCCCCCATCCAAACACACTGGGTTCCAAGGCCTGCAGCACACAGGCTGCGGTAAAGCCAGCAACATCAAGGGGCTCAGGGCTCCCCACCCCTTCCCAGCACACAGCACGACCAGGCCATCCTCTCCTCCAAGGTGTGCTTGACAGAAAGACCCCAAGCAAGGGCCTCCAGTTGGCAGAGAGAGTGGCAGTGAAGAGACCCTGCAGGCCCCTTGGTCCCACCCACGCCAGAGGACACTGGGGCAGGGAAGGCCCAGATTCTGGGCCCCAGAGTAGGAATGACCCACAGGAGACTTGGAGCCAAAATCACGCTGATTTCTCAACAAGGCTCCCCTCACATATTTCCAAGTGTGCTGCTGGGGCTGGCAGCACCCCTGAGAGGGAGAGGCCTCTTAACAGATGAGGAAACTGAGGCGGGCTAGCTGCATGATGTGCCCCAGGGCTTGCAGCAAGGCCACCAGAGTGCAGGATCCAGGGTCTCCTGAAGACTTGTAGGTCAGGTTCTCTGTGCAAGGCTGAGCACCAGGTCAAGTGCATCTATGAGGTGACTAATAGTGGCAGCAGGCAGCAAGCATTGGACAACTCCCAGGACATAGGTACCACTGCCACCTGAAGAATCTGAGGCCCCAGACTGGCACCCAATCTAGGACATGGTGCAGCCCTGGCTGGGCCCAAGTTCAAGTCCAGCACATGGACAAGCTCGCATCGCAGTGCCTCTGATGATGGGGTGGCCAATGCTGGGCAGAAAGCACATGGCCAGGGCATGAGGGGCNGCAGCCTGTTCCACAAGGGTGCTTGCCTCATTTCCCCGAGCTGCCTCACTGTAAAAAGGGAAGGGGAGTGTCCCCAGCAAAACTCAGACACTACAAGGAGGTGACGGCGCAGCAAGCCGGGCTAGGATGGGGAGACACTGCCTCCCCAGGAACCGGGCTGGGACACTGGGCGGTGGGTGCCTGTGAGCCCCTCACATGTGCCCCCTCCAGCCTGAGTGCAAAGACGACTTTGTGCCTACAGAGTTCTTGCTCCAGTAGGCAAACTCCTGCAGTCACAAATGGCAATCCATGCAAGGGAAGGTGGGTTGGGTCCCATCTCCCCACCCCTGTCCCTCCTGCCCCTTACCCCCACTTCCGCCTGTTCACCCATCCCATCCTGTCCCGTCTTGCCCTGTCCCATCTCCCCTACCCCCATGGGCCAAGACCGCCCTGTCCCAAAGCCTCCACCTCCAGTGCCCCCATCCAAACACACTGGGTTCCAAGGCCTGCAGCACACAGGCTGCGGTAAAGCCAGCAACATCAAGGGGCTCAGGGCTCCCCACCCCTTCCCAGCACACAGCACGACCAGGCCATCCTCTCCTCCAAGGTGTGCTTGACAGAAAGACCCCAAGCAAGGGCCTCCAGTTGGCAGAGAGAGTGGCAGTGAAGAGACCCTGCAGGCCCCTTGGTCCCACCCACGCCAGAGGACACTGGGGCAGGGAAGGCCCAGATTCTGGGCCCCAGAGTAGGAATGACCCACAGGAGACTTGGAGCCAAAATCACGCTGATTTCTCAACAAGGCTCCCCTCACATATTTCCAAGTGTGCTGCTGGGGCTGGCAGCACCCCTGAGAGGGAGAGGCCTCTTAACAGATGAGGAAACTGAGGCGGGCTAGCTGCATGATGTGCCCCAGGGCTTGCAGCAAGGCCACCAGAGTGCAGGATCCAGGGTCTCCTGAAGACTTGTAGGTCAGGTTCTCTGTGCAAGGCTGAGCATCAGGTCAAGTGCATCTATGAGGTGACTAATAGTGGCAGCAGGCAGCAAGCACGAGTGCAGGATCCAGGGTCTCCTGAAGACTTGTAGGTCAGGTTCTCTGTGCAAGGCTGAGCACCAGGTCAAGTGCATCTATGAGGTGACTAATAGTGGCAGCAGGCAGCAAGCATTGGACAACTCCCAGGACATAGGTACCACTGCCACCTGAAGAATCTGAGGCCCCAGACTGGCACCCAATCTAGGACATGGTGCAGCCCTGGCTGGGCCCAAGTTCAAGTCCAGCACATGGACAAGCTCGCATCGCAGTGCCTCTGATGATGGGGTGGCCAATGCTGGGCAGAAAGCACATGGCCAGGGCATGAGGGGCACGTGCTGGTGAGGAGCTCTCCTGAGCCACGCCCACTCACCCCACCATGGTGCTCCTTGGGCCGCCCGGCCCCCTTCAGCCTGGCAGTGGGAGGCAGCTCTGGTGGCCCCAGCCTGCTCAGCAAACCCTTGGCAAGAGGGCCCCCAGGCCCTGGGGACTACACAGGGCCACGTGTTTACAGGGCATTGGCTCAGGACCCACGTCTGCGAGTGCCTACGGCAGCATCAGACAGTCCTTCCGCTACTCCTCTCTCAAGCCCCAGAATATTCCTCTGGGAAAGGGTGTTCCTGAAATAAATTCCGGTTTGGCTCCTGTCTCAGGAGCAGGAGGAGCTTCTGCTTCTGGCTTTCCAGGGCCGTTTCCAGGCTTGAAGATGGACTGCAACAGGGTCCCCCCCAGGGCCCAGCAGCCACCCTTCACGTGGACAGCTAAAGAGCCCACTGCCCTGAAGGTCTGCAGACCATGCCCAGAGGGTGGGTTCAGGGTAGCAGAGCGGAGCCCACTGCCAAGAGCAGCCCCAGCCTCTCCCCCCGAGGACGCCCTCACCTCCCCACCACCTCACCCCCAGGAGGCCGATCCCAGTGCCACCTGCCTTTATTCGTGGACGCTCAGGCTCCAGAGCCACACAGACACTTGGCCTTCAGAGGGCATGTAAAGAAAAAGGGGCCCCGGTGACCCTCCCAGTACACCCGAGAGCCAGGTGGACCCGGCAGCACCACCACCTCAGGGTCTGCCTCAGTGCCCCTGCCCAAGGGGGTCACTGCGGCCACAGGGTCAGACACCAGGAGGCCAGGCCTGGTTGCTGGTGGTACTGTTGAGGGGCCCAGCAGTGTCCCAGGCCTAGAGAGCTAGCTGGTGCCATCCTGATGCTGACGTGGGGAAGGGCCAGGATGGAGGGGTGTGGGGGAAGTTCCCCCAGGTATCCAGGCCAGAGGAGCAGCAGGGGTCTATGGGGGACCCAAGCTGGATGTGGGTGGGGCTGCCCTGTTCTATGTCCTGGCCACCTCAAGGACAAAACCGGCCCAGTCCCACCAGCCTGGGAGACGACAGAGGCCTCATCTTCTCCATTCTGATCCTGAAGGAGCACAGGATAGGGAGGTGGAGGGCAGTGGCAGGTGACAGGAAACAAGGGGAATCAGGGCCCCTGGGGGGAAGGCAAGGCCAGGCAGCTCCAAAGACACACGTAGGCCAGGGGGAGGGCAGGGGCTGGCAGGGCCTTGGCACCCCACTGATGGGGGCAACTTGAGACCCCCCCAGAGAGGAGAGGAGGGGCTCAGGGAGGAGGGGCAGGCCTCGGCCATCAATCTTGCGGGTCCCAGGGTTTGCAGCCCACTGGAGCACAGCCCCCTCCCCCCACCCAGGAGCGGGGCCCACAGGACAGGAGGAAGCCAACATCAGTGCACCCTGATCTTCCAGAGGCCAGGGGAGGGGCACAGGCGCTCTAGGACTTCTTGGCATCCTGCGTGTTCCGGCGCTTCAGGTCGCTCAGGTCAATGGGTTTGAAGGCTGCAAGGGACAGTGGGGTCAGGGTGGGCACAGGACCCCCGTCCAACCCCCATCTGTGGAAGCCCTGGAACCCAGCAGGACGTTGGGAGGCAGAAAGTGGGAAGCAGGCGGCCTTTCTGCACACACACCCCCCGCCCAGCCCACAGGCTGAGCCCCCAGCCAGCCCCCACTCACTCTTCAGGCCGGGGTTAGGGACCTTCTCCACATACTCCTCCACAAGGCCCCGCTCGCTGCCTGACGTCTGGCTCCGCAGGTCTCGCTCCACGCCCTGCCAGGCTGTGGACAACAGGGGTGGGTGTGGTCGGAGCCCCAGCCCCAGGGTCACTGTCCAAGCCAGGAGAGCGTCTGACTGAAGCTCCTGGCTACCCGCACCCTCCCTCTTCTTCAGAAGTGACAACAGGGGTGGGTGTGGTCGGAGCCCCAGCCCCAGGGTCACTGTCCAAGCCAGGAGAGCATCTGACTGAAGCTCCTGGCTACCCGCACCCTCCCTCTTCCTCAGAAGCCCCCTTCCCCCGCCCCCTACCAACCTCCCTCTCCACAGCATCCTGTCCCCAGATGACTGACCAGGGCTACAGTCACAGAGGCCCATTGGACCCCAACCTGGATTCCCAGAGCCTCAGGGTGCAGGGTGCACCTCCATTTGGCCGCGCCCCTGGGGCACATGCCCCAGTCCCAGCCACACCATCTCTGGGACATTTCTGCAACACACCCTGTGTTCATAGCTGCGTGTGCCTGTCTGTCTTCAACAGCCCCCTCCTGTCCCCAGCAAACCCCCCCAGTGCTGAGCACTGGCTTGAGACGCCACCTCTTCTGGGATGCTGCCCACTCCCAACACCCTCCTCTTAGGCTCCCCCCATTATGAGAACCTGGAATCCTCACCAGACAGGGACCTCTCTGCCACCCCCAGCCTGCCCGGCCCCACAGAGGGCAGGAGACAATGGAGACAGGAAGAGACTCTAGGGAGTTCTGGTCTGGGGCCTGGGCTGGGCAGCAGAGCCGGCTCCCTGGAGGGCTCGCGTGGAGCGGACGCAGCGAGGAGCAGGACACACACCTTCATAAATGAAGCGGACATTCTCCTCGTGGGCAGGGGTGAAGATCTCGCTGCTGTTAGTGGGAGAGCGGGGGCTGCTGGTCCTCTTGCCGTTGTAGACGACTCTGGAGACGGGGGAACTGGGGGAACCCGGCACATGAGGACGAGGCTGGGGAGTAGCCAGAGTGAGGGCCCACACCCCACCCACAGGCAGAGGCCACCCCACCCAAGACCCACCTGGTCATCGCTGGGGCGTCCAGTCCTAGTGTTCTGCTGCCAGATCCTCTTGGCCTCTGAAACAGGAGCCCCAGAACACGGGAGTGGGACGGAGTGTCGCCCTCTCCAGCAGTGGGGAGAGGGTGCAGCACGCATGTCCTCCTCCCTTTCAGCCGTGAACTGTGTGGCCCCACTGCCGACCAGAGAATCCCCCCACAGGCTGGGGTCCAGCCACAGGCAGCCGACGGGCTCCAAGCAACCCCAGCAGGCTAAGCCAGATGGGGGGCCAGGGCACGGGAGGGGCGAGTTGGCCAAACACATGCACAACTTGGTGCTCTGTGAGCTCGGCTGGTACCCTCAGCCCCACACCTGGAGCACTACTGCCCCGGATCCCCGTCCCCACACGTCTTGGGAACATGTTCCTGTTTTCAGAGTCACTGGCAGCCTCTCTCTGTAGGAAAGAGCCCAGGGGTCCCAGTGACCCTAACTGCCCTCACTGGCTACAGGGCTTCCCACACTGCTCTGCTCAGCCTCAGTTTCCATCCAGTGACCTGGATCCCCAACACAGCTTCCTTATCCCTGGGGTTGGGGCTCCGAGGGCTCAGGTGTGTACCAAGTCAGAGCCCTGGAGACAGAACCAAACTAGGGGATTCGGGGTGGGGGCGGCCCTGGAGGGAGCTGCCAGGCCCGACCTCTCTCTACCTAGGGGATTTTCATAGCCTTAGGGGAGGGGGTCTTTTTTGAGGCTCGGACTCTCACACTGGCCACCTGGACAGTGTCCCCTCTCCAGCTGAGGACACACAATCCCAGGGTAAAGAGGCCAGCCCCACATGCAGTCTCCAAGCCTAGCCTTGCTCCACAGGGGACAACACTAGCCGCAGGAGGGGGCTTTCAGCACAAGTGCCTCCCTGTCCACCCCGGGGCCCGAGGGCTTCATGCAGCCCAGAGCACGGAGCCGCAACCCCTCGCCAAGGGCCAGGAGCGATGGAGCACTCTGGATTCTTCCTCTCCGGCCCCCTCAGCCATCACATAAACCAGCCAGTGCTTAGGCACCCCCACAGGTGAACACAGCCCATGGGCCAAGGGCAAGAACAGCAGCAAGACGTTGTGAAGCCAGCTCCTGGGAGGGCACATAGAACTTTGTGCCCTGCACCAGGCACCACATCCAGGCAGGACCCAGCTCACTCACAAAGTGATGTCTCCTTTTGGG